CAGCCCAGGTAAGTAATCTTTTGATGTCGGCGAGGCGAGTAGCCCGCTCCGTGTAACTAACAGTAAACATCATGTTCCTCCATAATTCGCAATGCGGAGGCCTCGTGAGTGTACTGTTCCATTTCTTGCAAACGCGCAGACAGACACTGTACCAGGTCTGGTGTCAGCCAAAACATTCTGACAACGAGTCGGTGCTCGGTACGAAATAGAAGAGGCCCAGAGGGGAAGTTCACGCACGGAAGTTCCACAAAGTCTAGGTACGAGAAGATATGCGTGACCATTTCAGGGGGCAGGACTAAAGGATCCCGTCTCGAGAAGTGCCAGTGTAGGGGTTTATGGGCATCGAAAAGTTGCTGAAACGTAAATGATTAGAGACCAAATACAACCGCGGCTTGATCAACTTGGCCGAGGATCACGCTGTTCCATCTCACCTGTAACTTGGGCGAGGAGTCTACGGGAGTCTCCTTGTTTGCCTCAAGTCCGGCCGAATACACATTCCAGGCATACTCATCATTCCCGTTCTGCTGTGCAATTTTTCCCAAGCGGAGGTATCCCTAGAGCCGAGACTGGTCAGCGAAGTAGCGTAGACGGTGAAAGCTCAGGCTCAGGCCTGGACTGCTTACATCTGGAAGTCGAGGAGCCAGTTCCAGTATCCATTCGGCATCCTCTTCAGCGAAGTCAGGTCTGCCCATAGCCTCATATATTGAAGATCGGACATGCAGAGCCTTGATATGTTGCATGTTGTAGCAGTTTCCAAACTTTTCGCCAACGCCGCATTCACAAGTACGCATGACTTCTTTAAAAATTGATTTGGCAGTAGGTCCTCCATAGTCTTTGCAAATGCATCTAGGCCGCCATTCGACACCTTTGGTGCAGGGGCAGCTTCTCACGGCCTATTTTCCAATCCGAGCAAATGTCAGACATGCTGCTTCTCCCAACACCTTCGGGTGCTGTCACGACAACTCACTTTGGTGACGAGCATCAACGCGCGCATTTGTTTTCTGGTCGCGGCCACGTAAGAGCGGCGGCTCGACTGGATCAGACCAGCCATCGTAGGCCGACGACGCTTGAAGGCACCGCGAGAACGCATTTTGTGGTGGGATAACTGCGAGAAGCTCATGCATCGGACACGACGTGGTGCCAGATGGTCTCGCGGCCGCGGATGTTGACCAATTCAGCTTTACAGAGTACAATTGAGACAAATGACTCGGAGCGCGACCTTTCTGAGTTCGATGATCAAATCGGGTGACAAAAAAGTTACCCACTGCCCCGCCAATCGGCAATACATTATACATAATACACCACTGTGGATGGAGACGCGACGCGACCGCCGACAAGGCAGTGAGGGGGTTCGAGCACTATATAGGTCATAGATTTGAAGTTTTGATACCTGCTGTTTTGTGTTTACGAGCTTCAAGTCGCGGATTTCACACTTCGACAAGCGAAATGCTACACTCGGAGAAATCGGTCTCTAAAGAACTACATAGCCTCACACTGCAAGAATACCACAATGCGATCGACAACACGGCAAGGAGTGGCGGTATGCGTTGTACCCTCTGTTCCACCACGCGTCGTAGATCTAAGATCAAGTGGGAGAGGCGGGCGCCGCGAGGTGAATCTACACACAAGTTGATCGATGCCAAGTCACGACTCACAGTCACGAACAGACAAGCCAGCTTGTCCACATGCCAGAAGCAATTTTCACGTTCACCAACCCTCATGGCCGGTTTGCATGGCCCAGTACATTTAGGGAAAACGAATTTTCGCAGATTTTGTATTATCTTGGGACATTATTGTGAACTGATCTCCCGCACATTGGTTCAAGGTAGGTCGCGTACGGAGGAACTCAACCTGCAGTTAGAGATTGGAGGAAACAACGGAATGCAGCTTTTCCAAAGGCAATCTCGCCTGACAAAAGACTTCTTCTTGGTCCATGATACTATTTGCATACATAATACAGATCCCTTCGTGGGTGAAGCAGAAGGGCAAATTTCGGGGAAACAATAACACCAAAATATTTTATTGACGTCGAATTGGCTCGCTCGATTTGCTTCTCTCTGCCAACACCCCCAGAACATATACTCATCTCAGATGGAATCATGTATGATTAACTCTAGGTGCAGAACACGCGCGACACGCATATCGTAAATCACACCGACTGTGGCGTATTCTATGATCTATCCCCCCAAGGCCGACATCGGCATCGGCCACTTCAGTGGGCGAGCTCCGTATAGGTGCGTTTGGCCTTTACTATTTAGTAAGCTGTTGAATACTTTCACGCCGTAGCCTTTTGCCACCCGCTTCAGCCAGTTCACAAATGCGTTATCGTACTGGTACACACTCGTGTGGATGGTCTTGAGATGAGTGACTCTCAAAATTGCAAGCAACACCCTCGCTAGCTGGGCGGTTTCGATACGCGAGTAATTTCCAATGCTCAACGTCCGCAGGTTAGGAAACGTGGCCAGAAATTGCGGTAGCAGGAGTTCATCGTCCTATTTGAGGTCGGACAGAAAGCGGTATTGATAGCATCCCAACGTCTGAATTGAGGGAGCACCGCGCAGCCATTCGTAGCCCTTCAAATGGTTATCAGCGTCTTCTCTATCAGGGAAGACAATGTCAAAGGATATCAATTGGTTAGCCTTGACCGCGTTGGAGAGCAAGTTTTTAGCTCCGTCGGCCGAGATGCACAATTCTCGCGAGCTGAAAGAGCGTAGATTTTGAAATTCTGAACGCTGGTTGACGTCGAGATCAGGGAGTGGATGATGATCGTCACTGCTGCTGAACATGCAAGGCCTGTGCCTGTCCGCCACAACATCAAGAGAAATATGTTGTAGTGAGTTGAGACGCGTCAGGTGCCGTAGCGTCAAACGCGAATTTTCTGCAAAGAAGTCTGAGCCTGCACCAGTACGTGGGCCGAACATGAACACCTTCAAGTGTGGCCATATGCCTTCCCATTTATCCTGTCCACTTGTAAGTTGTCGAGATGTCCGGCTTTAGGTACGGCACGTCCGGGCCAATACAGAGCTGTTCGAGCTTTGGAAAGGCCACGGAGAGAGGAAACTAAAAAGGTTCAACGAGTTAGCCTCTCGCTCTAAGGCGCGCCCCCTCATCCTCTACATCTAGCACTGAGCAGCGAGATGCAGAAGAGAAAAAAGAGAGAAACAGAAGAAGAAGAGGAGGAGTAGAGGGAGGGAAAGAAGCAAGAAAGAGGAATTTTTTTACTCCAGCTCCGTGGGCGGGAAACACATGCAATGGGAAATGGAACCTGAATGATGTTCATCTCGATCTGCTCTCGATGCTCAAAATAGGCATCGACATCATCATCGTCGTGATCGCCCATTCGCAATGTCTTGAGGTTGGGAAGACTTGGTAATCCTGGCAGCCCGCGGAACCATTGCGGTGGAATTCCCACGAGGTCGAGATGCTCCAAAGAGCCAGCAGCATTTTGGATGAACAACTGAGGAAGACCCCCGGGACCGTCTACATGAGTGCCGCGAAATCCAGTATAACATTAACTCCCAATGGCAACATGCCTGAGCCGAGTCCATCTATTCTCCCCCAAAGGCAAGGTCAGGCCTTTTAGCTGCAGAATTTCCAAATACTCCAGTCTGGTTGACGCTCCGAGCAGCACCGACAACGCTGCTTGAGTCAACTTGACGCCTAACGCTATTTCAATCTTCCTGGCGCCTCCTTTCCCAGCCCAGGTAAGTAATCTTTTGATGTCGTCGAGGTGAGCGGCCCGCTTCGCATGCTTTACAGTAAACCTCACATTCCTCCATAATTCGCAATGCGGAGGCCTCGTGAGTGTATTTTTCCATTTTTTTGCAAACGCGCAGACAGACACTATACCAGGTCTGGTGTTAGCCAAAAAAAAAATTGACAACGAGTCGGTGCTCGGTACGAAATAGAACTTAGAAGAGGGCAGTCAACTCACGGAAGTTCCACAAAGTCTAAATACAAGAAGATGTCCGTGACAATCTCGGGGGGCATGACTAAAGGATCCTGTCTCAAGAAGCGCCGGCATAGGGGTTTACGGGCATCGAAAAGTTCCTGAAACGTGACTGGTTAGACACCAAATACAACCGCGCCTTGATGAACTTGACCGACTATCATGCTGTTTCATCTCACCTGTAGCTTGGGCGAGGAGCCTACGGGAGTGTCCTTGATTGCCTCGAGTCCGGCCGAATACAAGTTCCAGGCATACTCATCATTCCCGTTCTGCCGTGCAATGTTTCCCAAGCGGAGGTATCCCTAGAGCCGAGACTGGTCAACGAAGTAGCGTAGACGGTGAAAGCTCAGGCTCAGTCTGGACTGCTTACATCTGGAAGTCGAGGAGCCAGTTCCAGTATCCATTCGGCGTCTTCTTCAGCGAGGTCAAGTCTGCCCATAGCCTCATGCATTGAAGATCGGACATGCAAAGCCTTGATATGCTGCATGTTGTAGCATTTTCTGAACTTTTTGCCAACGCTGCATTCACAAGTACGCATGACTTCTTCTAAAATTTAATGGCCGTTGGCAGTAGGGCCTCCATAGTCTTTGCGGATGCATCTAGGCCGCCATTCGACACCTTTGGTGCAGGGGCAGCTTCTCATGGCCTATTTCCCAATCCAGGTAAATGTCAGTCGTGCTGCTTCTTCCCACCTCGGGTGCTTTCACGACAACTGACTTTGGTGACGAGCATCAACGCGCGCTCTTGTTTTCGGGTCGCGGCCACATAAGTGTGGCGGCTCGACTGGATCAGACCAGCCATCGTGGGCCGACGATTCTTGAAGGCACGGTGTGAACGCATTTTATGTTAGGATGACTACGACAGCCCGCGCATAGGAGCACGTCGTGGTTCTGTGGTTATCGTGGCCGTAGACTAGAAGCCTAATTGCATGAAACACTTCGGCAAATTGAGGTATGCTCGCTCGGTCAGTCCGACTCTGTCTCAATTCGTGTTCTGGACCGTGGACGCGTCTCCATAGAGGCGCACAGCAAAAAGGAAGTCTCAAAAAGTGTGGTTTCGCCCGGGCTCGAACCGGGGACCTTCTCGGTGTTAACGAGAAATCATGACCAACTAGACCACGAAACCAGTGATTGTTGACGAGATGACAGATATATCGACTCAAGAAGTATTTGCTGGTGGGAATCTTCGAAGAACACAACCGCACGGTCCGCACCCCATCTTATTATCCAGCGCATCGGTGACGGGCTTCCAGATCGCAGAGCCCGATTTGTGTAGCAATTCACTGGCGATGTGAGGCGGCGGAAGTCGGTTGTAAGGCTCTGCAAGTTGCAACATTAGCTTCGGCTGCTGCCCTCTTTCTTGTCGCTCTCTTCTTGTCGCTCTCTTCTTGTCGCTCTCTTCTTGTCGCTCTCTTCTTGTCGCTCTCTTCTTGTCGCTCTCTTCTTGTCG